AAGTGCCCTTTTTCTCCACAGTAATAACATAGGCCATAGCTTCTCCTTCGGTCTTTTTCCTTAGGTGTCACTTTGCAGTGGACGAGTCCTAATTGCATAGGTTCCACAGGGTCAAGTGGAACACCGGATACCTCTGGAGTTTTCCTGGGAGCTGGAACATAAGGAGGCATTTCTGGGGCGTAGTGGTGGTACTCGGTTTCTTGGTTAGGAAGAGTCTGAGATTTTTTAGTACGTGGAGCTGACTTGGCCACAGTGGTCTTACATTGTGAGTCCATAGCAGTACTAAAGGATTCCCAGCTGACCAGGACAGGACTCTTCGTCTGCAACATTTGGTGAGCCCAAACTTTGATGCGTCCAGACAACAGGTTGATAGCCGCTCTGACCCTGATGAATTCTGTGGCATATGTTCGAGGCTTTAAGGAAAACAACACCTCACAATCCATCTTGAAAGACTGAAAGGATGTGCGGCTACCATCAAATCGGTCGGGCATGATGACAAACGGTTCAGGAAAAGCTGGTTTCGGGGCTGGATGTACTGCGCCTTTAAGGAATAAAATTTCTTGCTGCAGCTCCGAAACAGTCTGGGCCAGGCTGGACACACGCTGGGTCGAGGGTGAGCACATCTCTGCGGACTCCATAATGGTCAAGTCCTTACGTCAGGGTCTTACCTGAGTTGGGAGTCTGTAGCGCAGATATGATGCTCACCCTTGCAGATAGCCACAGGCCGAGGTGGTCAGGTAAGAATTCACCTGGCCTGTGGGTCTGTGCACGGGGGCTGTGCAGGATGCAGTACCAATACGCAGGACAGGCAAGGACTGAACCAGCAGGATGGTCGAGGGATAGCCGAGGTCAAAGGATGCCAGAGGACAGGAACAGCGAGGAGTAGCCGAAGTCAAGGGATGCCAGAAGTCAGAATAAACGAGTCAGGAAGCCGGGGTCAATAATGCGAAGCGATGAAACAGGAACACTGGAACAAACAGGATCAAGGACTTGACACTGAGCACAGGGCGAGGCTGGGTTTAAATACCCTGCTGATGATTGATCAGAGTCAGGTGAAACACAGCCAAGTCAAGGTGCAGCCCCCAGAGTAGTAGCCATGTCAGGATGAATAGGATTGGAATCAGTCTTCACAGTAAATAGCTGCTGTGGCTCAGAGGTAGAAAGCAGGACCAGGACTGAGAAGATCCCCGGTTCAAGTCCCCTGTTGGGAACTCCAAGAGCGACCACGTCTTGCCGTCTGTCTATCAGGTGAGAACCGTGACAGAAACTGACTGTAAAGACTTTGGCTCCATGGCGATTAAACTGTATTCGTGTGGTCTGAGTGCCATTCACCTAATAATGTGCACTCAGACCTGAGCTATCTGGGGATATGTTACATGTCTGTGTTTTGTGGAATAAATGTTACTTTGTGTATTTTAAAGTATAATGCTGGTTTTGTGTCCCCACGTGTGTAATGGAGTTTTGCCTTTGTCTTGGGAGATAATTGAGTTGCTTCCCAATTATCTCCCAGGGCAGAGGGGAGGAAGCCAGGATGCATTGTGGGAAATACTGTGACTGTGTGTCCTATTTGTCTAATTGTCTGTCCCTTGTCACAGTCTCCCATTTGGTCCCCTAGGGGAGTGTCCACCAGGTGGAAGACCTGCATAAATACTGGGCAGGTAGCCCTCATTAAACAGACCACTGCTTGACCCTCAACACGGAGCCTTGTCTCGTCTTTGGGGGGATTTACTGACTGCTGATAGAGACTGATTGCTAGGAGTGTAAGCCGCTTGGATGCTTTTCCTATTCGTCTGGTAGCAGCAATTTGTATGGTTCCTGTTCGTGTATTTGGAGTGCTACCTTATTCCCTTGTATGCCGTTCGGGAGTTTGGAGCATTCACTTGTATGCAGTTCGAGAGTTTGGAGCATTCACTTGTATGCAGTTCGAGTGTTTGGACCATTCCCTTGTATGCAGTTAGAGTGTTTGGAGCATTCCCTTGTATGCCGTTCGGGAGTTTGGAGCATTCACTTGTATTCAGTTCGTGAGTTTTGGTGATTCTACAGTAGCTGTGCCTGTCTCTGAAAGGGGGATTATCGTCTAAGCGGTTTTTATCCCTTTTTGTGCAAAACGGTCCGTTACAATCACACTGACGGAACACCAGAAAACTATCCTACAACACTCAGTCACACAAGAAGAAATACAACAAGCTATACACTCACTCCCCCATGGCAAATCACCGGGACCCGACGGACTCACAAACTCCTACTACAAGACAATGACCACAATCCTGACCCCATATCTGGACAAAACCTTTAACCATATCCTCACGACGGGCCAAGTGCCCCAAGACATGCTCATGGCACATGTGGCTACATTGCCAAAACCAGGCAAACCACCTAACAAATGCCAAAATCTAAGACCAATCTCCCTCCTCAACACGGACATCAAATTACTGGCAAAAATTTTCTCTAACAGATTAAAGAACATTATCCCGACCCTGGTACATGAGGACCAGGTGGGATTTGTTAGTGGCAGGCAAGGAGCGGACGGAACCCGAAAGATCTTGGACCTACTACAGGGAGGAAGCGGAGGGGGGCCCAGTGCGTTATGCTGTCACTTGACGCTGAAAAAGCCTTCGACAGATTGCATTGGCCCTTCCTCCAAGCTGTTCTGATCAAATATGGCTTCCCAGACACTTTCCTACGGTTAGTAAGGGCATTATACTCTAAACCGACAGCGAAAGTCACCAATGGGGGCTTTAGCTCTAAACAATTCCACATAACCAACGGGTCAAGACAGGGCTGCCCACTATCGCCTCTCCTTTACATTCTCTCGCTAGAACCTCTCACGCAACTCATTAGGGACAACCCAAACATACACGGCATTATGAGACAAGGCAAGGAACATAAACTCACACTTTTCGCAGACGACATCCTCTTAACACTCGAGCAACCACACATATCCCTACCTAACTTCCACGATACGCTCACCCAATATAGCAAGTGCTCCTATTATAAACTTAATATAAATAAAACTCAAGCAATGGGCATAAATATCCCGATGGAGGTCTTGGATAGGCTGCGTATCTCTTTTAAATACGACTGGCGAAACGACCATCTAAAATTCCTAGGAATCAATCTCACCTCAAATCTAGCAAACCTTTTTAAAATAAACTATCAAAAAACACTGACTGAAATAAAAAACCTACTACTAGGATGGAAGAGTAAATTCGTATCTTGGTCAGGGAGAATTGCCGCAATTAAAATGATCATTGTACCTAAATTGCAATACTTGTTTAGAACGTTACCCATAAAGATACCCCCCACATTCATACGAGATGCTCAACAAACACTACTAACCTTTATATGGGACAGACAAAAAGCACGGGCAGCGAAAAGCACGCTATACATGCCACGCAAAAATGGGGGAATGGGAGTGCCCAACCTAGACAGCTACTACAGAGCAGCCATTCTGGGCCCCCTACTAGCGGCTTGCCATCGAGACCACCCAACCCAATGGATGGAACTGGAGGCGCAGCATGCTAATAACATTCCCATCAATGTACTGGCATGGCTTCCCCAGCACAGCAGGCCTACTAAGGCAAAATTACTCCCAACCACAGCCCTCACTCTG